CACACACACACTCTCTCTCTCTCTCACACACACACACACACAAACTCACACACACACACTCACACACACACACATTATATTTATAATATAAATATTATATATAAATAAATATATATTATATAAGAATAAAATATAATAATATATAAAATAATACTAAAAATGGCAAAACTAACTAAAATGAAAACAGAAATAGAAAAATACAAACTAAATCAAAATAGAAATAAAAACCGTAACAGTATCTAAAATAACGCCGTTACAGATAGTCTTTGATTGATTTCCTGGTGAGATAAATGACTGTCAGGAACAAAAGCACAGCTGTGTGTCTCAACAGCAGTCGCAGCGGCTCCACTGGCTTTTCCAGTAACACGGACACACCTCGATCCAAATCAGAGCTGATGATCAGCAGGACCTTTGGCTGTTTGCTTGTTCTGCACAATTGTGTTTCTGTTTGACCTACTTACAGTCTGACGCCAGTTAAACCACATTTCAGCAGGTATTTGTGTCCTAGTGAATGCCGTTTCACCTGTCTGGCTTGCTCACCTTGTGCAGAGAGCGGTCTGTCTGTGTTCTTCTTGTGCGAGCTGCGTCTGCGAGGCAAACTGGATCCGTCCTTCAGTGATTCCTACATGAAGATGAACACAGTCAATGCACTCAAACTCATCACTCACTGCAGTCAAACCCTGGCATGCACGCTCACACTGTACCTGCGCTGCCTTGTGAATGGTCAGAGGGCTGAGTGACATCACGCAGGGGGTGGAGCCAGTGATGTTGGACCAATCAGTGAGCGGCTTCTTCTCTTTCAAAACCTTCAAAGGCAAATGTCCTCGATGTTTAGTGAGTGACACATCCTGAGCAATGATATTAGCTAAACAAAGAGAACTACAATATTAAATGCAATTATTATAATAAAAACCAAAACATAAATGATTACAATAAACGAGGCTCTCTTCCAAAAACTAGTGCACTAGTGCCATGCTGTCTACATAGGCATCAAGTGAACTGTTGCTATTGTAAATGTGATGAGCATAAAAATACATAACACACAAATACTGGGTAAAAAACTTTTTTTTTTTAATTCTTAAAAAATAAATCAATAAAAATTCTAATAAAAAAATTGCTAAATTTTAACTAAAATTTAAATGTAAAATAAAATATAAACTAATGAAAAATATTAATAAATACCAACATAGTATAGTAATGATTCCAAAATAATTCTATCCTCAACAAGGAATCATTCATTTCTGGAACAAAAGCAAAATTAGATTAAATTATTTATAGTGATATTTTTGGGTCCTTGTATATTTTTAATGACATTCTCTCACTTCAGCCACTGTTGCTAATAATTAATTAAATCATAAAAATTACTTATAAACTAAAAACAACCAAAATAAAACACTTAAAAAAAGATTTAATATTTTAAATAGATTTTAAGATTAAATAATTAAATATATTTTAAGATTAAATATTTTTAAATACATAAATATTGTTAAATATTTTAAAATATTAAATATCGTCAGTTATATATTATATATTAAATATTTTAATAGTTTATCTGCATGTATTATGACCATTAACAGACATCAGAGAACCGTGAACATGCAAATGTGTTGCTAAATTATTGAAATATTAACTTTTAACATTAACAGGTTTGGTTGACAAAAAAGTCTGGGCAAAAGTTCATCATCTTACAAGACAATTGTTCAGTTTGTAATCATAAAACTCAGAGAGGAATTATGCATTTCAGGAACTTTCTATGTCTCTTCAGAATAGCGCTTTTGAGTGATTTTCAGCGATTTGTGAGTAATTATTAAGTACTAAAATAAAAATAAAAAACTAAATAGACACTAATAAAAACGACTAATCCAAACAACAAAATTACTCAACTTTAAAAATAAATAAATAAAAAAACTAATGCAAAATAGTCATAAATACTAAGAGAGTACAGTAATGATACTAAAATAAACTCAACAGGTTATTTTATTTTAAATATTATTGTATTTATTATTTAAATATTATTTTATTTGGTCGTTAACTAAAACTAAAAATGCTAAAAAAAAAAAAAACATTTACGCTTATTGGAATAAATTGAACATTAACAGAAATAAAATAAAGAAACTTAAACTTGTTTTTATTTCAGTTAGGCAAAATTTTATTTAAAATACTAAAAATAAAATAAATAGACACTAATAAAAATGACAAAAACATACAACAAAATTACTCAACTTAAAAAAAAACTAATGCAAAATATTAATAAATACTAAGAGAGTACAGTAATGATACTAAAATAAACTCAACAGGTTATTTTATTTAAAATATTACTGTATTTATTATTTAAATATTATTTTATTTTATTTTATTTGGTCGTTAACTAAAACTAAAAATGCTAAAAAAAAACATTTATGCTTATTGGAATAAATTGAACATTAACAGAAATAAAAATAAAGAAAACCTAAACTTGTTTTTATTTCAGTTAGGCAAAATTTTATTTAAAATACTACAATTAAAATAAAATAAATAGACAAAAACAATTGATTTAATTTGAAATTATGAAAGAAATATATTAGCATTGTACAATGTACTTCAAAGTTATAATAACAACAATAATAATATTCTTTATGATAAAATAATTTATTTAAACATTGTTTTCAAGGAACATCATGTTTGTCCATGTTTTAACTTTGCCAAAAATAAAAGTTGTTGTAAATTTTAATTTAAAAACATTTTAAAACATTAATGAAAATGTTAAAGTGTGATATAGTGAAAGTGATTTTTATTGATTTTTATTATAAGGGAGACTTCAATACTTTCATTAAAATGGTTTCAAGTTTGTTGTAATAAAGGATTTGTTCACTCAAATAACTTGTTCTTGTTCTTTTAAGAGTCATAGTTACTGATAAGAATTATTGTTTAATATATACCGTGATATTTTCTGAGAAGATTATCATACCGTGAAAATCTCCGTTACAACCCTACTCAACTTTAAAATTGAAATAGAAAAAAAATGAAAATGCAAAAAAATGCAAAGTATTGATAAATACTGAGATACAGTAATGATACCCTCTGAGAGCTGTGCAGCAGCTCCTTTCTCTCCTGTCTGAGGGAGCTCAGCGCTTTCTCCTTTTCTTTCTCCATTTCCTTCAGCTGCTTCTCCAGTCGCTGGACTCGTTCCTGTAAGACATGAGCAGAAGATCCTCCGTCTGGTCTGTGTCTGATCTGACGGCTCAGAGATCTGTCATCCGGAGCAGCTTTCACACGACCTCCCGCTCTCTCTCGTGAAACCAACACGGAAGTGACTAAAACTGCAGTTCATCGACTGGCCACTAGAGACTCCCCATGTTAAAATGCCCAACTTTACAGCAGAAAAGAATATGTTTACAGCCTGGTACAAAAAGTGGTTTTGGTCTATATAGCTAATTTTGCCCTTCATGACAACTATGAGGGGGGTGAATTTTTTTATAACTCCTCCTTTTAAATTATATTAAGCCTTAAACTTCTGCATAATTAAGGGCGTGGCCACTTGAGTGACAGGTGGATTGCCGCTGCTGACACTGCCGTCGAGTTAGGTGGGCGTGGCTTCAGCAACCAGCTCCCGCCTCTTTGCCCATTTTCGAATATCTGGGAGTGATGCGCTGCCAAGATGGCGACAGCTGGCTCCGCCCACTTTAGGCTTCAAAAACGCTCTTCGGAAACCTACGAGTGATTTTGATTTAAAATATAAATATTTTGTAACAATATTCACTATTGTTGAAAAGTTTGGGGTCAGCAACATTTTTTTCGACTTTTTTTCAGCAAGGACGCATAAAATAAATCAAAAGTGATAGTAAAGACATTTCTAATGTTATATAAATATATCTAAAATATATATGCATTTCTGCATCCCGTGGCTCTCCAAACTCTTTGGCTCCTCCCCTTTGATCCACTCATTCTAGTGATGTCATCAAGCAAGCTTATCCTGTGAGGGGGGTGAATTTTTTTATAACTCATCCGTTTAAATTATATTAAGCCTTAAAGTTCTGCATAATTAATTATGGGCATGGCCACTTGAGTGACAGGTGGATTGCCGCTGCTGTCACCACCGTCGAGTTAGGTGGGCGTGGCTTCAGCAACCAGCTCCCGCCTCTTTGCCCATTTTCGAATATCTGGGAGTGATGCGCTGCCAAGATGGCGACAGCTGGCTCCGCCCACTTTAGGCTTCAAAAACGCTCTTCGGAAACCTACGAGTGATTTTGATTTAAAATATAAATATTTTGTAACAATATTCACTATTGTTGAAAAGTTTGGGGTCAGCACTTTTTTTTTTTTTTTTTAAAGAAATTAATACTTCAGGAAGGATGTGTTAAATTGATGAGCTTTGTAACTTTGCAGATCTTTTTTATGCTCAAACAGCAACATTACAGACTAACTAAAGTTGAAAAAATCATAATAGGACCCCTTTAAACTAGACTGTCAGTTCAGGTTTTCAGCTCACCTGAGATGCGTTGCGCGTGTGCTGTACTCTGCTTATCTCTCTTTCGATGACCGTTTGACTTTCTCCATCCTCTCCTTCTCGCTCGTCTTCCACTCCGCTCTCCAGCTCCAGAACGTGGAACTCCATGTCTTCAAACGCTCGCACTGTGGCCTCCAGAGCATCCCTCTCCTAAGAACCAAACAGATGCTTCGCATTACAGTCATGTGATGACAGCGCTGATCTCTCGATAGAGATCTTCATGCTTTTATTTTATTTTATAAACAATGTAACATTAAAAATGTAAAAATAAATAATACATTTATTTGTGAAAAATAACAAATATAAAAATGTAAATACATTTCTACTGTATGTATACACACAAAAGTTTGGGGTCGGTAGGATTTTGTAATGTTTTTGAGTCTCTTCTGCTCACTCAGGCTGCATACATACATTATAAATGTCTACACTGGCACTTCTGATCAATTTAAAGCATCCTTGATTAACAAAAGTTTTTAAAAGTTCTTACTCTGACATTTTGAATGATATATATATAACATCAACCCTAATAACCAATCTCTGCTTTAAAAAAGAACAATCTGGATAGAAAAGCATGTTGTTTCTCTGCAGTGTAATTGCAAAAGTAATGTCTGATAACTTCAAAACAACACTCCTCTCGTCAGTCATTGGTCAGTAAGTCCTGCCCCAAACTCCTGTCATTGGTCAGTCAGTGTTTTAAAATCTTCACAGTGTTTCACTCCTCACTAATGAAAATAAAGGGATGCACCTGTTGCAGCTGAAGCAGCAGCGGCTCTCGCTGGTCCTCTGGCTGCGAGGGAATCTGTTTCTGCTTCTCCTCACACCTCCTCCTCATCTCCTCCACCTTCAGCCGCTGCTCCTCCAGCTGGACTCGCTCCTGAAGGACAGCACGTCTTCAGCTCAAACACTGATCACTCGAGGTGTAACGCTACACGCATTCATACCCAACATTTTCGGTACGGGTCTTTCGGACAACTTTCACACGTGTACCGAACAAATACAGCATTGGTTTAACCACTGCATGATGGAAACTTCCAGTTTTATATATTGTTACTTTTGATAAGAAACAAAGTCTCATCTTTCAAATTATGTCAATTTTTTTCAGGAAATTCAAACAATAAATGCTGTTTTGACGCTCTTTGTTGTGGCGCAACAGATCGCCCATAAACACCTCAGTTCAAACAAAACGTCACGTAGCATTTCATTAACCTCCTCAGGAAGCCATCAGTGTCCACAGCTCGTTAGTGCGCTATTAATTAAGTCTAGAGAAGAGCATTTCGCAAAATATTAGACTATATTTTACTTTACCTGTTAGTGATGTCTTAATTGTTGTATGTATGTTTAAATAAATCTGTTATGAAACAAGTTATGACAGCCACTGTGTAAATGAAAATATTTCACCGACAAGTAGACATTTTATAATTTAGAAGTTAATTTAAAAACTGCATTATGTGCAATTTACATGTTTGCATACAATTTTGTAATTTGAGTGTTGATTATTATATAAAAATAAATAGTCATTGAATTTTGTTAATTGTAATCTTATAGTAATGTATAGTTTAGAGTAGAATCCTGAGACTGCTCTCATTAGAGTTACAAATGACCTGCTCTTATCATCTTGATTATTTACTATTGTCATTTTGCATTATTGACACACTATTTTCCTAATTAATGCTGTAAAGCTACTTTGACACAATCTGTATTGTTAAAAGCGCTATATAAATAAAGGTGACTTGACTAGAATCCGAGGTAGATTTTTATCCCTAAGAAAATTTTAATTGTAATTAAATTAAATTTTTTTTAAAAGAGCAATTTGTTCAGTAATCCACTGTTTAATATTAAAAAAAGCAATTTTATGTTTAGTTTTTTCCCCCTGCTGTACTGAACCGTCATGTTTGTGCACCGTCACACCCCTTCTGATCACACATCACAAACCGATGAAAGCCAGACCTTCTGTCTGCTGGCCCGCTGCCGGCTCCTGCGCTGCCTGTCCTTCTCCTGCAGCACCTGCAGCTGCTCTGTGTGTCTGCGCAGACACTCCTCTTCGGCCTGCAGCTCCCCGCGCAGCAGCGCCACCTCCAGCTGCAGCTGCACACCAGCAAACACTTTCTCAGCACATTTCATCATAGTTAATCAACCTCTCCTGGGAGTTTTAGTCAGTCACATTGTAGTCACACTGCATTATGGTTAAACTGATAATCACAATTTTATTTTTATTTTATAAACACAATATTTTGCTCAAAATTATGATTACTGATCATGACTGAGAAATTACATCAGACATATTGCACTTTCAAGCAATAAGCTCCAAGAAGCCGTGGTTTACAGTGAATTTATAACAGCTAAGGGGCGTTGTTCAAACAAAACGCGCGAAGCGGAGCGCCTAACAACGCCCCTTAGCTGTTATAAATTCACTGTAAACCACGGCTTCACGGAGCTTATTGCTTTTATAAAACGGTTATTCCATATATGTAGTAAGATTTCACAAAATAAAACAAAGCAAATAAAGTGTAATGATATTAATAAAAACGTTATTCTTCCGCCAAACAATGTAGCTCCTCAGAATCAGTTGTGGTTGCAACAAAGTGGTTGCCGAGCAACAGACAAACGTAAACAAAGGTGTATGTTACTTTGTAGAGTCATTTACAACAGCTTCGAACGTGGCTCAGCCAATCAGAATCAAGCACCGGAACTATCCGCTTTATAATCACCTATAAGCATCACTCATAAACACGCTTTATTACCTGATTTATTATATTATCAGAAATGCAAGCTGTTTTTAAGACCAAGTAAAGAAAATGTGAGGAATCATTTGAATGAAACACAATACGTCTAAACGTAAATGTAAATTTGCAACGCCTCAAAATGTGAAAAGACAACTTCCAACAGATCTCAATTACTTTTTAATTCATTTTACAATATATCTGTATATATACATATATATACCTGTGCCTCTGATCGCACTGCACTGTTCTTCCTCAGCAGTTTTCCAGTGCAAATGTCCACAAGATGCATTTACTTGAGAAGCAACATAACGTTTTAATACCCAACCGACAGATATTTGTTCTTGTTTTAAGCATAAACTCAATTTGTCATCTTATTTTCATTTTGCATCTCCAGTAAATGTGTCTTGATTTAATAATTTAAGACTTTCTGCTCCGATGTAAGACCTTATTTGTGAATGGTTGCCAGATTGTGAAGAAAAATTAAACAAAGGGCAGAAAATATCTGATTGGGGGATTTAAAGTCAAGTCAAGTCAAGTCAAGTCTGCTTTATTGTCAATTCTTCCACATGTACAGCACATACACACAGAGAATTGAAATTGCGTTACTCTCAGACCCTTGGTGCATACAGATAACACTAACAGTAGAACATAAATACAGATATACAGATTAAGTATAAAAATACAACTATACAAATATACAAATAAGGTAAAATGTAAAAAAATATATAAAAAAATATATATAAAGCAGCACACGGCACATGGCAGATAGAGTGCAAACCAGTGAAGTAAACTCATCTGAATGAAAAATTAAAATATAACGGTGTTTTGTTTAATTTCACTTTAGTCTTGTTTCGTGTTCGTTAAGGAAACTCACCTCAATCTTTAGCTCCTCCCTCTGCTGGTCGAGCTCCGTGATTCGCTGCTGCAGCAGCATCGACGGTGATGTCAGCGAGACTCCGCCTCCCTGTTTGACTCGATGCTGGTTAAACAGAACGAGAGATGAGTGCGGCTGATCCGCGGGACTGGTTCTGAGAGGAAAGCGTGTATTTACCCGTTCGGTCTCTGTGCTGCTGCCTTCGGTGTCTGACTCCGCCCCCGAGGAGGCGGGGCTCTGCTCCACTCTCACCATCCACGGCGATCTCATGAGCGGATCCCATTGACTCCTCTGTGTTTCCATATTGTGTCTGGGCATGTCTGATTACACAGGAGCGGAGACTAGTTAAGTGTGGAGGGAGGTCTGGGACGCTTGCACATTACAGTAATTTAACAAGGCTCAAATGACTGAAGCTCCAGCTAACATGCACCGAACACGCAAAAGTGAAATCCTGACTGGTAACCAGTATATGTTACATTGCTTGATTAGAATAACTCCCAAAACGTTTTACATAACAGCCGTTAATTCTCAGGCGAGACGTGTTACAGAAATGCTTAACACATGGCATTTTATTCTAAATTATTAGAATTAAAATATTCATAACGCACATTCTTTTATTGCTGAAGTATAATAATAACTATCATCGTTTCTATTTTAGAAATAAAAGTAACAATTTAAATGCAGTAATTAAAAATAAAAATTTAAGTTAAACATTTAAGTATATTTTAAAAGCAGAAAAATCAGTTTATTTCAAATAATATATATATATATATATATATATAATACTGTATATATATTTAAATTATTACTATTAATATATTCGTAACACATTCTTCTAATTTT